TAGCTAAGTAAAGTTTATAAACTTAAATAAAAAATACTTTATAATTAACTATATTTTACTTAGTATATTCTACTAAGTAAGATATAGTATATTATTCTTATTAATAATATAATAATAGTACTTATTTGCAAAGTATATAGTAGAGAGAAAGTTATATAATATTTATTTATTTTATTTCTAATATATATCTTTTTATACTAAATTAATTCTAAACTATTCTAGAAATAATTTACTTAGAAATAGTACCTAACTACTTACTAGAACTACTACTTTTAGAGAGAGTAGGTATACGCTTAGAAAGAAAGTCTAAGAAGAACTAGTAAGATTTATACTTATTCTCTTTATTCTAGAAGAAGATATAGTCTAAATTTATTAGAAATAATTCTAAATTATTCTAGAAATAATCTAAATAAAACTTACTATAAATAAAGTCTATATCTAGGCTATTAATATTACACGCTTAGTAGAGAAGGTTATCTTTAGCTTAATTATTATAATAGTCTCTAACTATATTAGTTATAGTAGTAAAGTTAAGCTATAAAAGTTAGAAATAATTTAGAAACGTTTAAGAAATAATTTATCTATTCTCTCTCTAAATTATTAATCTAGATAATATTTTAGAAAGAGTATTTCTAGTCTTTCTACTCTTTCTTTTTTTTCTTATTATTTAGTATAGTAGTAAAGTTCTTAAAATTATTATAGTCTAAATTATTTACTAATTAATTTAACTTATAGTCTAAATTACTTAATAAATAATCTAACTTAGACTTATTATTAAATTCTACCTAAGCTAAATTAGTAGAAGAGGTAGAAGAGTTAGTAAAGAGAATAGTAAGAGAGTTAGTAATAGTATTATAAATAGCTATAGTCTAAATATAGAAACCTAAGTTAAATTAATTAAAAATTAATTAAAAAGTAATTTAAATAAACTTACCTATCTTAGCTTAAATTAGAGTATTAGTAGAATTTCTAACTTATCTAGTAAACGCTATTCTTAGCTAGTAAGCTTAGTATAAGTAGTTTCTAAGTATAGCGTAACTAGTATACTTCTACTAAAAGAAATATTAGAAATAATTAAGAAATAATCTAGAAATAGTTTATACTTTATAAAAAATTCTACCTTAAATTTTAATATAGTAGTATAGCTAATCTATATAGATAATTAGCTTATTTTATATATTAGTAGTAAAAAGTAAGTACTTAAATAAGTATTAGTTAAGCTAGAGAAATTACTTATAAGTAGGCTAAATTTATTAAAATTATTTATAAATTAATTTAGAAATAGTTTATATATTTTCTTAGAAAATACTCTAGATTTAGTAAACTATTATAAGTAGCGTAGTTTAGTAAAGAAGTTTAGTAAAGTTATATTATTATTATTTAAGTAAAATTATTTTAGAAATAATTTATAATTAATTTACTAAAGCGCTACTTTAGTGTACGTATTAACTACGTATAGATGCCTTAGCATGCTATGTCTTAGCGCGCTCTTAGTTAGATAGCCTGCATCCTAGCAGACGCGTTAGCGCCACGACCTGACGTCATTGGTTGGAGCGAAGACACCTGCACGAGCTACCTTGGACACGAGCCTGCGCGTCTTTCACCCCCGGCACCACTCATCTCAACCCATCATGGTTCCTCCCTCGCTCATCTTTGAGACTCAAATGCAGGTCTTTAGCATTACAGCAGTAATGTCTTCGACGCTGGCTCGCTCAATCCCGCGTTGATCGCGTCCCAGTGCGGCTTCCACGATTATTAGGCGCGATGGCAGTGCTTGCTCATGCACCCCAGCTCTTGCCCATAGCGATGGCTGAGCTGGCAAGCATGAACGATGCAGAGGCTGTTGCAGCGAGCGTGGATGTCATCTGCAGCCCGGACTTGTTTGTTGACGCATCACGCCGAAACATCCCATCCATCCATCTCACCGCCGCCATCGATAACGCATCAGGATTGTTACAAGACTATCAGCCCGAACCATTCTTCTCCGCGGTATTGTTACTACTGCAACGGTCAACATGAAGGCCGCTCTCCTGCTTCGTGTGCTTTCGGCCACGTCGCTCCTCGTCAATGCGAACGCGAAATCGATCGATCACCAGCAGCCGCGGGAAGATTCGCTTGATGACTTCATCAAAGATCAACAGCAAATCTCGCTGCAGGGGATGCTGAACAACATCGTCGATGGCGTGGTGGTTGCTGGTCGGTCAGATCCAGATTGTACGTGCCTTGAGCCTACCATGATCAACAGACTGCTAACAATCCAGACTGGTTCACGTGGACTAGAACAGCTGCGTTGACTTTCAAAATTCTCATTGAACGCCTCACCCGGTACGACCTTGAACATTACCCCAATGTCTCGGATGACGTAACCGATTATTTGAAATCCCAAGCGAAGCTGCAGTCGGGAGATCTGGGGGAACCCAAGTTCTACGTCAACGGCACTGCTTTCGACGGTCCATGGAACCGACCTCAACAAGACGGTCCGGCGCTTCGTGCTACAGCTCTGACTCTCTACGCCAGATACCTGATCGGGCACGCAGGAGATTCTGTAATGGCCATTGACGTTCATGATCACGTTGTCGATAAGATCTGGCCGATCATCAGTAAAGATCTTGAACACATTATTCGGTGCTGGAATCAGACCAGTTTTGATATATGGGAAGAAACGAACGGCTCCTCCTTCTTCACTCTTTCCGCGTCCCATCGCGCTTTAGTCGAAGGTATGTCACTCGCAAAGGAAATATACCTACGCTGCGACGGCTGTGCCGTTACCGCTCCACAAATACTCTGTTTCATGAATAGCTTCTGGGACGTCGACTTCATGCACGCAAATTTGAACTCCAAAGATCAACGACGTGGTATAGACGCAAGCTCAATTCTATCCTCCATTCACACATACGATCCTAAGGCTGGATGCACAGACAGCAGTTTTCAGCCTTGCTCTCCCAGAGCTCTTGCCAACCACAAGGCAGTAATCGACTCCTTCCGTCAACTATACGCGATCAATCATGGCATTCCGCAAGGTCAAGCAGTTGCCGTTGGAAGATACCCCGAAGACGTTAGTCATGGAGGCAATCCCTGGTATACGACTACACTTGCGGCGGCAGAACAGCTCTATCTAGCAAGATTACAATGGCAGGATCGGAAGGAATTCACGATTGACGAAACTTCGCTACCTTTCTTTCGCGATCTGCTTCCAACGATCCTCCCCGGCACCTATCGCCAGTCTTCCGATCCAGCCTTTTTCGACTTAGTCCTATCTGCTGTACAAAAGTACGCCGATGGCTACATGGCCCTGATACAGAGATATACTCCCACGGATGGAGGGCTTTCAGAACAGTTCGACAGGAACAATGGTGTTCCTGTTTCTGCCTCCAACTTCACATGGTCACACGCTGCCTTTTACACGGCTGCAAACCGTCGCATCGGTATCAAAGGATTCCCCTGGAGCAGCTGGGGTGAGCCGTCAAACAACGCCTTCAAATTGTGGCAATGTCACAGTCATGCTCGTGTAACCTTCCATGTTGGCTCGTAAGCGACACACATGATGTTCGTTGTTGGCGATGTCCCAGAGCTCGGCAATGGAGTCACCTAACCGAGGATATGCTTCTTCGGGGAGCTTTTTTTTGGGTTGGCAGTTGGTATGGCAGCGTTGAGTTCATTCCGTTCTCCATTTCTAGCATGAGCCATTCCTAGTTGCTCAACTCACAATGCATTTTGTTTCCATCAAGATGTTGGTCTAAAGTCCTGTTCATTCTTTTGTCCTTTCAAATCAGCGCGACTGAGCAACTTGCCTCTCTACTGATACACGCACAGTCTCTGGTAAAGGTTCTGCGACACCCTACATCCTATCACATTCATGCTACACCCTTGAGCTGATCGGTTAACATGGCGATACCAGAACGCAGGAGCGTACCAGAGTATCTTGTCTGTACCTTGTGTCAGCCTCGTTCAAAAAGCTACTACGCGGCACAAACGTACCGTGACCTGCTAAACGCAGTCTTGCGGAACCCAAGCCTTGATCCATTCTCCGTACTCAAGGTCAAAGTGCTCGACAAAGTAACCAAATTTACCACCTGGCGAAGGGCCGCGCAATGGAACATACCGCGACACGGAATGAGCTGCAAACATTAGTGGTGCTGTACACACTCTAAATCGGATGTCGCGTCGTTGAGCCAGATACGGTCGCTCGGCTGCATCCTCGAATCGAAGCAAGGAAGCAACGGTTTCTTGACGGCCCATCGACAGTACATGCACGGCGTCAATGGCAATGTCAATCGCTCTGGCTCTTGGTCGCATTTGAGATAAATGCCAACCAGCTTGACGCGCCCAGTTGATTATAGCCGAGCTATTTGGATCCGAAGCTGAACTCTCGGGCCTAGCGGTCACGCAGCTAGATCCTGTCCTGCGCGCCTCCAAAAACCAGGTCAGAAACTCCGAAGCTGCCTCAAGAGGTCCTTGCTTGCGCGCAATGACTTCCAGATCTCCACATAGGACAATGAGTTTAGGGCCCAATCGCGACACCTTGGACGCGTCGCCGGCTGCTAGTATGCTATTGCGCTTCGCCGCAGTGCGCGCAATGATTGGTGTAGCTTCTTCTCGGATGACTTTGGAGATAAGGCGTACAGTGGTAGGATACCAAAGGTTAATGAGCTTGACTTTCGTGGTTTTCGTCTTAAGAAGTCCGCTCTCATTGTCCGTCTCGATGGTGATCTCGTTGTGCGTAAGACATGTCGGCAGGAACTCGTAAACCATGAGCCTGATGTCGGCGGGTAGATCAAGGAAGCGGAAGTCCATTGGTGTGGGCGGTAAAGAATGGCTCATGGCGGGTGTCGTTTTGGTAATTTGGGGGTGATGTCAGTTTCCAGCATTTGAAAAAAACTAGCTAGCGTGGATTTTACGGCTAGATGAAAGACAGTGAAAGTGAAAGACCCTGACGTGATGCATAGGCTCTTCAGGTTTGGCTTGGGACTGTTGTCGATATATCGACGACACTGGAATGACTCGTCTGTACGTGCCTCTGGCGCCATCACCGAGTCAGTGAACCCTGAGCTCAACCCCGCGACTTCCATCCGTCGCACCTCGACACAGCACAACATCACCCTCAAGCATGAGCGGGCCAGACGCATATGAACAGCACCGACAGCTTCGCACGTGATGATGGAGACCGCGATCAAGCCTGCAATGAATGCCGCCGACGGAAAGCGCGATGCGACAAGACGCTCCCGGAATGCGGGCCCTGCAAGAGAAACAGGAGACACTGTCTCTACGAACGGCACAGTAGAACCCCATTGACGCGCAAATATCTCACTCAAGTTGAAGAGCAACTTCGTCGATCACAAGCTCAACTCGCCCGCGCAGAACAACGCGTCCAAGTAGCCGAAGCGCGTGTGCGACAGCTCGAGACCGCCCAGGGCGACGACGCGCCATCTCCCCACGAAGATGCTGCCAACACGAGAGGCACAGCCGACGAACCGCCCATTGAAGTGTCGCTTGAAGGGCCGCCTTCTGGACCAGCCGACTTTAGTTGGGATGAACATACCCAGGAAAGCGGTCCTGCCGAGACAGACGCCGCGAGCACACATACACATACTTCTCCCGGGGGAGACGAGCGCGTCGTCGATGGCATGGCTTCACTCACCGTAGATGAGAGCGAGGCGGGCTATCTAGGCGTTGCGTCAGGTGCTGCCATGTTGCGACTGCTCCTTCCCGACGCTCAGCAGTCTTCGCGGAAAGCGCCACCCACGTCTAGCTTCAGCACAACTGCACCGGACAATGGGCACTGGCTGTACACAGATTTATGGGATAGCTTTGATATAGGAGCCGTCGACCTTGATGCCGCTATCAACGGTTACTTCGGCCTCTACCACATCTCGTATCCTATCGTAGAGGAACACACCTTCCGTGCTCAATACGCCCAGGTCATACCTCGCCCCAACGGCCGTAGCTGGCATGCGCTCGCGTTTATGATCGCTGCAATAGGCCATTTCACAACGGCTACAGGCCCGGCCGACACAGACAGGAGATTGTTTATGGCTGCCAAGTCTAACCTGTCGATTGAGAGCTTGGAAATTGGCAACATCACCCTCGTCCAAACACTCACGCTCATGTCCAACTATCTGCAGAAACGGAACAAGCCAAACAGTGGGTACAACTATCTTGGTCTTGCCCTTCATATGGCCATTGGTTTAGGCCTACACAAGGAGTTCAATCATTGGGACATCACCCCACTCAACATGGAGATCCGCCGGCGCGTATGGTGGTCCATGTTTGTCTTCAACATTGGCGCAGCTGTCACTTTCGGGCGCCCTCTGGCCTGGCCCAACAAGAACGTTGAAGTTCATTTGCCATTGAACATCCCCGACAGGGCTTTGACTAATCTGTCACGCACTGCTCCGAGCGAGGCGGACCATGTCACAACGTTCAGTGCTGTTATCATGCAGTCCAAATTCCACATTCTGACAAATGACATATACACGAAGGTCATATCGATGCCCTTTCCAGCGGCTACGGAGTTGATTCGTCTTGATGATACCGTGATAGACAGATGGCAATCATCAGTGCCCGATTGGTATCGCCGTGGAGCGACCATGCCCGCTCAATTCGCGACTAGCCATGCTATCATGTGGTGGCGGCTGAGTAACTTCAGGATCATCATGTATCGACCGTATGTCATTCGACGTGTACTACAAGCCAGATCGCAAGACATGGACAATGATGTGCCGGCATCAGTGCAAGAGGCGTATGCCAGGTGTCTTCGTGAAGCTGAGATGAGCATTGATGCCATCAGTATGTCTTGGGCTAGCTCTCCGCCCATGCGGATGACTGCATGGTACGCATTGTACTTCTTGTTCCAGGCTTCGCTCATACCCTGCGTGTGCTTGCGTAACGAGCCTACTTCACCTTTCTCGGGAAGTTGGCGTGCGCAAATCCGGCGGACAATGCACACTATGCAGCTACTGTCATCCATCAATCCGAGTGCTCAGGACTGCCTGAATGTACTTCAACGTCTCTGTGGTCCATTCCTGCAATCTGAGATTCCTGGACAGGATGCACATGTGCTTGCGACTCCCGCTGGCGACCTATTGGAACATGCTACCGAGGAGTCCCCACAGACACAGATCAACAATGTCTACAGCATGATGTGGCCGAATGCCAATGATGCCGAGGCTGATGTACTGATGCAGGGGGGACTCTGGTCTGACTTCCTTCCGGACGTCGATGACTCAGGACAGGCACGACCTAGCGGACCCCATGTTTATTCCGACTCACAGTTTGCATGGGGTTGAAGCACGATTTTGTCTTTACCAAGACACCATGCCAAATCTATTGGTTACAACAGACTACGAATCAACATACCCCGGCTACCTCGATGTGCTGCTTGTCGAACTTTTCTTCCTTTTCCACAAGATCTGCATCAGGCGACGCTCCAGGGCCATCAAAGATCTCGGCAATCTCCTCCAAGCTCCGCCCCTTCGTCTCTGGGAAGAAGAAGTACGTGACCCCGAGGAAGACTACCAGCAAACAGCAGAAGACTATATAGTACTTCCAGCCCAGGCTCTCCATGCCGACAGGATTGACAAACGCTTGGATGACCAAAGAAACATAGATGGAGAGCAGTTCGCAGCTGATACCCTTCGATCGGAGACTGTAGGTAAAGATCTCAGTTGGATAGCTCATCAAAAGCGGGGTATATGCGATGTCGTAGTGGAAATAGAAAACGAAGAGGCACACCACCACGACATATCCTGCCGCTTTGTTGTTATCCTCGTTATTGACTGCCGAGCATGCTGTCCAGACAATGTACGAAATTAGCATGCCGATGCCGCTCCAGAGGAAAAGAGTTCGTCGTCCCAATCGGTCGACCAAGAGAGCCGCGCTTACAGCTGCAGCAAAGTTGAAGATTTGCAACAGACCATTGATGAGCGTCTGCATGAATGGATCCGTTATACCGATCGAGTTCAACACCAGGGTGAGATAGTAGGAAACGACACCTATACCGTTCCACTGTGCAAACCCACCGACACACACGGCGAGGAAGAGCCGCTTCCGGTTGCCAGGGGTGGCAACAAGCGCACTCCATTGTACCGATTTGGCTGCACTCTCTTGTCGAATGGCGTAAACGATCTCGCTCATCTCTCGGTCAACTAGCGGGCTATGTTCGTCACCACCAGAATGGTATCGGGCAAGGATTTGTCGAGCTTCATCTTGCCGCTCTTTGGCGACGAGCCATCTGATTACCGTGTTAGTTCTTATGAAGATCTATACAGCGCTCGCAATTCATACCTGGGAGACTCAGGCAAGGTCCAGAAGAATGCAAGCTGCACTAGTGGATATCCAGCCTGCAAGATCGTCGGTATTCTCCAGCTCCAGTTCCCCGAGTGGTTCTGAGTCCCAAACGTTGTCCACGCAGCCAAGATGGCACCAAGGTAGTACATAGTCCAGAAAGCACTTGTGTACTTGCCTCGGTGCGTCGGGTAGGCCAGCTCGGCGATTAACATTGGGGAGGGCTGGACGACGAACATGCCCGCAGCGCCGACGACAGCTCGTGAAACAACAAATTGCGCCAATGTTGTTGCTGTTGCTTGTATGATAGTCGCAATGATCACACCGATGAGACCGCTGAACAACACTATGCGCCGGCCATAGCGATCAGAGAGCACTCCGACGAACGGCAGCACGACTACGGAGCCGGCAGACTGAGCCGCGTTGACCAGACCAAGAAGCGCTCCGGTGGGGTGGCCAAAGTATTCTTGCCATTGGGGGAGCGACTGGAGACCATTCATCAACGAGCCTGTTGAGTGTCAGCGACGTTCATTTGTATCCAACGCCATGGCGAAGCTATACTTACCATCATATCCTGCCACAGCTGAGGATAGTAGAGGTACCAACAAGATCAGGTTCAAGCGTCGCAAGTGCGGGATTTGGAACCAGTACTTGTTCGTCTGAGGCAGTACCTCCGCTATGGCATGCCCAACGATATCTGCGTCTTTCATGGTTGCAACCTCAATAACGGTGGATACAACAGTCGGGAGAAGTCTTATGATCAATCAGCAAGAAGGCTTGAAACACGCGTCAACATCTCGGATATATATACGGTCTTGCATGACCCGGCTACGGGGTATGCCCACAGCCGGCACATGGCTTTGTTACCCCAGGTTCTGAGCGCCGGTTCATGCTAGTGGAATGCGGGTTGCAGCGACGATCGGGATGGAATGGGGTGATGCGCGAGTCATGTCGGGTGGACGGTCGACTGTCACCCCAACGCTAACTGCGTCATATCAGCCTAGCCCGGGGAATCTCGTTACGGGGCACAGTCACCCATCGGGTGCCTGACACTCCAGACTCGTCTTTGCATCCCGCCGCGCCTGCATCTGCTTGATGGACGGCAGTCTGTCCGCCTTTCGGCTCATGGCACTATCACTGTGTGGCCACGCAACATTTGATACCGAAATGCTGCGCAACGATACTCCACGCACCTGAACCTGTTTTCGCTGCACGGGTTTGTGGCCATATGACAGACAAGATTGCTATTCGATACTGGCACATCAGGTTTCCATCATCGTGATACAGGGACATGGCATTCAACATTTCGATTCCACTCAGGTCCACCTTTATTGTACACCCTCTATGATGACCTTGAAAACGCCCTCCTGTGCAGCCTTCACTAGCTCGAAAGCTTTCTCGGCATCCTCGAACTTGAATCTGTTCGTGATGAGCTTCTTCACGTCGACCTTGCCTGAGGCCACCAGGTCTATCGCATTGGGGTAGCAGCCAACTGAGTAGCGGATAGAGCCCTTGATGGTCAACGCACGGATACAAGCTGTCGTGATGGGGAAAACGACATTCTAGCGTTTCTCATTAGCAATTGAATAGCGAGACACGGTGGAGGCGCAGACTTACTTCCTTGCCCATACCCGCCTGGACATACGTGCCGCCCTTCTTCGCCACATTGATGCCGGCCTGTATACACGGTTCAGCACCTGTGCATTCCAGGACGATGTCTGCACCCTCGCCCAGATTGAATTGCTCTTTGATGGCTGCAGCAATACTCTCCGAGTGCGCAACGGGGTCAGCTCCTTCCTTTGCCCTTTGAGGCAAGAACACGCCATCTGCCGCATATGCTTTGGCAAAATCCAGTCTTGCTTGGGAGATGTCGACAGCAATGACTTTTTTCGCGCCTGAAGATTTTGCGACTGCCTGCGAAAGTACTCCAATAGGCCCCGCGCCGAAGACGACCACCGTCTGGTTTGCGCGCAAATCCGCAACCTTGCATATCTGGACTGCGACGGAGACTGGTTCGACCATTGCTGCTTCTTCCATGTTCATATGGTCGGGGATCTTGTAACAGTAATCACTGGCAACAGTGTAGTACTTTGCAAGTGTTCCATCCCAAGGTGGCGTGGCCGCAAAGATGGTATCGTTGCAAAGATTGTATGAGCCAGATCGACAGTAGTCGCATCGCCTGCAAGGCACACCAGGTTCAATGGCAACGCGATCACCCACTTTGAGGTTTTTGACGACTGAGCCGACCTCTACGACTGTCCCGGAACTCTCGTGACCAAGGATGATGGGGCTGTTCAGGACAAAGTCGCCGATGCGGCCGCGCTGCCAGTAGTGCACATCGCTGCCGCATATTCCTGTTTGCGCAACGTGTACGCGGACTTCGTGCTGATCGCGTAGCTGAGGCACTTCGCGGTCCTCGAATGCGACATCCTTGACAGCATGAAGGACGAAGGCTGGGTTCTGAAGAACGGATCAGTTTCAGACTGGGAAAGCGCACTGCAGTGATCTCACCTTCTTAGTGGCGGTTACGGAAGACATGTTGTTTTCGAAATTGACTGCAGCTTCTCATTGAGCTTGAGAGCTCCATCTTGTATGCCCGTGACCAGCACGTCTGAACACAGGTCGGGTGTGACGAAGCGCAAGTGCGGGGATCGTGGGGTCAAGGGCAACCGTCAACCTGCGCGGGGTGTATCCCCAGTCCACTAAACGACACCACCCCACCCACATGATGTAGGTATGTTTTCCGAGCAGGTACACCCACTCCGATAGCCATCGTCCGATAAAATCGAAATCGCCATGGCGCGCCGATTCGGTTGCGAACCTTTTCTCCCATCGCATCCTTCATACTTTCCACCTTGATTACCATCACCCACAATGCCTCTCGCGCAACCCTCCAACCCAGACGAACATGTCACGTCCCAATTCTCACTCAAAGGCAAAACCGCAGCCGTAACAGGCGGCGTCCGCGGAATCGGCCTAGCGGCCTCCAAAGCCCTCGCAGAAGCCGGCGCAAACGTCGCCATCCTGTACTCCAGCACCAAAGACGCCGACGCCATCGCCGCGTCCATCGCCTCCGCAACAGGCGTACGAGTGCAAGCCTACAAAGCGTCCGTCGAGAACAAAGAAGAGATAACCCGCGTCATCAACACCATCGCAAAAGACTTCGGCGGTCTAGACATCGTCGTCGCAAACGCCGGCATCGCAACACACCACCCAGCCGAAGACTACACCGAAGACCAATGGCGCCACATCATGGCCGTAAACCTCGACGGCGCATTCTACACAGCGCAAGCCGCAGGCGTCATCTTCAAGCAGCAAGGCCACGGCAACCTCATCTTCACCGCTAGTGTATCCGCTATCCTCGTCAACGTCCCGCAGAAACAGGCGGCGTACAACGCGTCGAAAGCGGGTGTTGTGCAGCTAGCCCGCTGCTTGAGTGTTGAGTGGGTGGACTTTGCGCGCGTTAATTGTATTTCTCCGGGGTTTATTGCGACGGATATGCTGGATGTGCATCCTAAGGAGTGGAGGGAGAAGTGGATGGGTATGGTGCCTGCAGGGAGGTTGTGTGAGACGGGCGAGTTGAAGGGGGCGTATGTGTTTTTGGCGAGTGGGGCGAGTAGTTATATGAGTAAGTCTTCTCTCTTCTCTTTGCTATATGGATACTAGGTTGCTGACATGCTCGAATAGCCGGGGCGAATTTAGTCATTGATGGGGGGTATACACTACCGTAGCTTTGTCGCGAAGGCAAGCACAAAGAGAGGTTCAATCTATTGTTAAGTCTGTTACTACCAGACGTATTACCAAACATAGCCTGACTATACTTCATCGGCCTCATCCTCGTTATCGCTTACCCATCCTTCCTTCCAAAGCTTATCGATATCATGCCCCTCGATAACCTTTCTCGTGTGAGCATCCACCCAAGACATACGCTCGTCAGCCGGAAGCCTACGGTAAGCAGGCCAACTGATCTCTTCACAAGCGGCGTAGATATAGATACCGAGCTCAAAATCCTTCCTTGAATGAAAGGCTTGCTGTCCTGTGTGAGTCTCATCCTCGTGTGAGGCAACACGCGCAATACCATACGCATGTCTCGCAAGGTAGTCTTCCCTCTGAGCAAACCAATCTGCCGCCTCAAACCCAAACTGTTCTTGCGTAAAGTCAGCATAGTAATGCTCGCGGTTGGCGGTAGTGATTGCGAATACCGAATGGAGAACATCGTCATTGTGGTCTGGGTCGGAACTGACATGGATCTTGGTATGTCGAGATGGGAAGACGATGACCCATTCTGCCGTTGCCCCTAGGGGTCGAAGCGCCTCTTGGATCCATGATAGGAAACAAAATGCACTCCTGTCGCATTGGTCGAGCTTCATAAGGGCTGTTTGCAGATCGTCAGGCACGCTTGATGGGAATGCTGCACGGCCTTTTGCGGTAGTCGGGTCTCCGTTTGGATCTGTTGCGATGTTGACATAGTAGTGGGTGACGTCGCCTTTCTGAGCAGTAAAGAAGTTCTTCACGCAATCGTGTTCAACATTTTCTAGAACAGTCTTCCAAATCTGTCTGAAGGGCTCTATGATCGCTTTGATCTGGTCATGGTCTTGCAGAGTGGTTGGTTTGGTGTTAGTAGTTGTGCTCGCGGGTGTCAGCCCTACAGCTTGGAGTAATTTGTTCAAACCCTTTAGGCCCGACTTCATTGGTAACGATTTGCTGCGAGGGCGTTGAGGCATTTTCCGTTTCAGTTGCGGTTTTGGTGGATATTGGCTGCTTTTCTCGAAAGGGCAAAGATCTCTTGGAAATATGACATGGCCATCACATAATGAAGCTGTGTGTGTAGAACCTACATTGTGCATACACCAAGGTTCAGAAGCCTTGTTCTAAGCTGAATAGGGCTTGTTCAACATTCAACATTCAACCCATTGCTGGAAAAGACAACGCAATATCAGAGCGGCCTGTCCATAAACCGCGATGTGTGTAGGGAGGTGGTTGGGGGACTGGTCGTGACGTATCAGTAGATCCAACATAGTTGAGATGTTGTACTGGGTAGAGGGCGGTGAAACCTGCGTCAAGGAACGATAAATTGTCGGCATGATACATTGGACGAAGTCGACTGGCATTACTGGGTGGGGAAGGTCCGGCCCGTGCGGACTTAGCGCGGGGTTAGCGTGCACCCTGAATCTCCTGCTCCTTGTCCGATGCCCTTCCTTCTTCATCCTCAACACCACACCTCACATTCCTGCCAAGAGCAAACGACGGAAGCCGCGACGCCATCAGCATACAAGCATCCACTCCGCGAACGCAACATCCTCTCCTGCCTGCACAGCCACGATCGCGTCTGCACGGCTTGATTGGCAAACGATGCACGAGACCCACTCGTGATGCACGTTGCGGTCAGGCCACAGCTGTAAAGCCACTCACACACAGCCACGGGGCGCAAATTGGGGCTCGTACATGGCCGTACGCAACCTCCCCTGCCTTGGCGGTTGTCTACGCAGCTGCTCATGATCAGTGTGTAACCCGATGAATTACGTGGTTCGCCCAATTTGGCAATCTCGTGTAAACAGTCACCGCCTCCAAGCCGGCACTCGGCACGGCATTATAGGGAATTCAAGGGCAGATGGTAAGACTCAAGAGTGGCCATGGCTCTCTACCGCCCCCATGGAGTTGCACAAGTGGTGGATCTGGACTACGCAATGCTTGTTGGCTTGGCAGATGGGTCACTGTGACTTCAACCGTCACCGTGGGGCTGCCGGTACTCGGCCGACGATCTTGCATAAAGCCCTCAGCTTTCTCCTCTCACTGTGGAGTTCTCATCAACCTCACTCTTCGTCTCACACACTTGAACACTTTCTAGCCTCATTTGACTCCTTACATCAAGTCAGCTACCGCCCAAACATCATCCAAAATGACTTTCTACCACACTGCTGAGGACATTCGCATCGAGGACAACCACGTGTTGAAAGCTCGTCTCCAGACCGCCGAAGGCGAGTGGAATGACGCCGAGATCGACCTCAACACCTGCATCGGCAACGACAACGGTAGGAATGACATTCATCCTTGACACGGTATTGGTATCGATACTGATCTGGTCAGGCAACTTCCACTGGGATGGCGAGGGCTTTGCCAACTCTGCCGAGAACATCGAGTTCGCACTTGAAGGAGATGGCGACGTCCCCGTCCTCCGTGCCACCCTCTTCGACGCTGATGGCAACCCCGAGACTCGCGACATCAACTTGGGCGAGCGCATCGTCAACAACGACGGCAACTTTCACTACGGTATGCAGCAACCATCAGGCCCGTGAAGCTCATCGCTAACCCGTTCATCAGAGTAAGAAATTTGCCTGGTAAGCCCTGTATAGGTCCCCGGTATCGGCACCCGGTGCTATGAGACACTTCAGAGGAGGACATGGGTTATGGGTACACCGGAAAACTCCCCAATGATATGAAATGACAAACCAACTTCAACTTTACCTATTCTCTCGGCTACCTCGTGATGGCTATGCTTCCAACAATCGATTACTCGGGGACTTTTCTTCCATTTCCCATTCAGTTCTATATACTCACAAGGTAGGCGATGTACGTATTCGGCCATTCACTGGTACTTTCTTCCAACTTCCCCAAGTACCTCTACACATCCCGTGACCTTAAGTGCAATAGTTGCCTAGTAGCTTCGACTCCACTATCAAGGCTGAACAAAGTTCCGAAAGTGATTTCTAGTTCCTGGATCACTAGACAACGAGTCGTTCGCACAAAACATCTGCTGCTCAGCAGCAACTCGTACTCGCATCGCCAAGTAAAGCTCACTATGACCGAATCCACGTCTCTCGCACCATGGAAACTCCACAACAGGTTCGTCGACATCGTTCGCAGCGACGTCAGTCCAATCCTGGACCTCATTCCCTCATACAACACCCTCGAGTTTGACTACAACGCGACCGAAAACACCGTCGCACTGCGTATGGGCGAATATGGCGACAGCGAGATCCTCGCACATTCCAACGGCTCCGTATCCAAGCGCGTAGTCCGCGACTCCAAGATCCGCAAAGCAGGTACCGTCTTGGAAGTCAACAGGCCAATGAGTGGTCAGTTCAAAGCCATCGCGCCGTTTGGCTGGAGCGAGACTATGCAGCAGGGTATTTCCACGCCGATGAGCGCGCCGGTACATGCGCTTGTGCTGATGTATATGCATATCTGGGTTCTTAAGACAAGCAAGGAAGATGTTGAGTTGCCTATACCGAGGTATCAAAGTTTGTATGATGCACTAGTTTTGATTCGAAACGCGTTAGACACGGAGTTGGTGTTGCCGTTTGGGCAGCGCAAGGTTCCCGCGGAGGTGTTGGCCGCCTATCAGAGTGGTGCTGTGGACAGGTCTCAACCAGTCGAGGAAGAGATGGAGCCTGAGAAAGAATAACACTTCATTTGATTTGATGGGCTAATGCCGTTATACTTCAGGACTTCGTTATGTACCTCTTGCTACCATATGCGCAAAAAAGAAACTGACGAGATGGTATCAATCTATCCTCAGCAGATGCTGCGCCGCGTACTCTTATAGTACTTGCGCCCCTCCCAATCCCAGGCATACATATGCGTACAAAAGAAACAAAATGACGGAAAGGAAAGACGTATAGAGAATGTCTAGAGAGAAGCCGTCTTCTTCTCACTTATCGACTTGACCTCAGTCTCAGTGATGGCCTCGTAAGGAACAGTGCGGACTACATCATCCATAGCCGGTGTATCCTTCCAGCGGAGGTCAGGCGAGTCCAAGAGGGCCATCCTGTTCTCAGCCTTCATGCGGTCGGCAGTGATTCTTTGCGGGTAGTTGCGCATGAACATGTTGGTGAAGTGGCTGCCGTAGTGGATGCCCTCAGTAGGCTCTTGGCCGGCCTCGAAGCCAGGAAGCGGCTTCATGACGGCGGAGAAGTTGGGCTCGTGGAAGTAGGCGAAGGCGAAGCGCTCGCGGGTGTTGAGGCCGACCTTGTGGGGTGTTGAGGGGAGGAAGGAGTTGGTGATGTATTGCATCATATCGCCCTGGAATAATGGTTAGTAAGGTTCTGGGTAGGAATGTTTCGGTTGGGGTGACTTACGGGGAAGACGGTGAAGACGTCGGGGGTGGGTGGTACGTAGACCCAACCATCAGTGTTCTCGTGCTTGCCGGCTGCGGTCGTCTTCCAGTTGGCATACTCCTCACCCTCAATCGGGGGGCGGATGAACAGGCCGCCCACGGCATCCTGGGCGGCGATGACAAGCAGACCGTAGTCAGTGTGCGAGCCGATACCGCGACCAGCCTTGCCCTTACCGTTGGTCTTGTCGGTCTGGGGGAAGCGCAGAACACGCATGTGGTGCCAGCCATCTTGCGTGTACCTGGTTAGGGCATTGCCGTCCTCCAATCCAAGACCCCATGCGATGAGTGACAGCATCTTCTCGCCGCTCTCGCCAAGGTAGTCCATGTAAGCTTGCATGATGGTCTTCATCTGAGTGAACGGCCATGGGTTGGGACCGTGGCACGGCCACTTCTGCTGGACACGGGAATCAGTCTGTGCGAGCTCTTTGGTGACGGTAAAGATCTCGCTGTAGTCGGCGATGTTGTCTGTGATCTCCTCTCCGGAAGCGATGTAGCCAGCGAAAGACTGGTCATCCAAGCAAGCTGCTTTTTGCTTGTAGTCGAGGCCGAAGAACTTCTTGCTGCACAGGAACGCCGCATCGGCGAGCTTGCGGTTGATGGGGTCCATGGAGATTTGGAGGATACCGTCTCTCTTCCAGGCGTCAATCATGCTCTTGCCAAGCGCCTTGTCTGCTGCACTGCCACTGAGAGTCTCAGGGAGCTCGAATGTCTGGAGATTGCCGACGACGGCCTTGTGGCCCGGTGGCATAGCGCCCATGGGGTGACTGTATTGGGCAGCTTTGTAGTCGGCCATGGTCGCCAGCCTCCTGACCGAGCTCGCCTGCGAGTTCGATGTCCGGCAAAGAGCGCGGAACTTAGCCGGCCTACTCATGATGGTGCGAGTAGACATCCTCGTGATGTTGTGATGTGTATTGTGACAGGAATGAAAATTTGTAATGACGAGACAGGGTTAAGAGGGGAGATTGTATGAATGGAATGAGCTCGTTGTGACTGATGCTTCGAAAACATATCTTTCCCCCAGGCTTATATACACATGGCGACTGGCATTGCTCTAGCCCCGGAGACCAGCGGCAGCTGTGAGTGAGTTTACTATTCTGCATGAGCGGACGCTTGAGTTGGTCTTCCCAAAGTAACTCCGGACGGTGAAACTGCATTGTAGAATGTGTGCTCGGCTTAGAGACCACCGGAGGGTCTGGACTACGATGCGGATGATTGTCCCGGCTCCCTAAAGTCGCCTACATCGTTCCCCGGGGTCGGATCACGACCTGTTCTTCACCATCCTCTGCTTATTATTCGTTGCAAGGCTACCAGAAGGCCTTTGCGTACCTTGTTTCGCCTGCGTTGGTCGGGCCTTGTTCGAGAGATGTTGGTCCCAGATGAGGCAAGCGCATTGACCAGGTAAGCTGGGATGGGGTTAGAGGCGCCGTTTGAGATGCGGCTGTTGTACGACGAGCGATACGTCGCGACGAATATGAGGCTGGGATGCTTACATTTGGCCGACGTCACCCAGGAAGGACCGGGCTCGTGGGACTTGGTAGCACCATGTTGAGCGAACCTTATCTTGGCGTGCGCCACGCATTCACGTGGCATTCAACGGCCGCGCCCAACCTTCGTTCATGGTCGATCCCAGCCTGAGGTAGCACACATCGCAAACGTTGTTTTCGCAGCTTTCGCATTCGTATTTTCCAGGCAGCGTTTTGCCGTAAACCTTGTGCTTGACATCTTCAAGGCTTTCCAAGATTGAAATGTCCCGACTCGATTCGGAAATAGCGCACGGCCTCGTGTGCACCCTGTGCGGGCCTGACAAGCTTCACTGACAGCACGGCGAGTCCCTACAAATTCCCCTCTCATCTTGCAGGAAATCGATGGTCTGGGGTCGAGAAATTCGATCGTCAATGCGGACGTTATCGCAATTGGTTCGCGTTTACCTGGAGATCGTCGCGGACGTTTCGTATCTACCTAGATAGGTACCTTAAGAAGGTATCAGTGTCATAGATGCTTCGTTTCCGACTGAGAAAAGGCTACCTGCAACAACACGAGATGATGCAACACAGCCCCAAGAGCAAACTCAGGATGAATTGGTCGGGCCGCGTTCGCAGCGTAGCAACTCGGCCTCATGCTCGGATGCTGACAGAACGTCGAAACGCTGGATACTAATCCAATGCCTGCAGCGCCACACGGCCTTGGAAGTGTCTAGATGGTAGAAGCCGGCTTACATAGTATTTCCGGTTGCAACGGCGGTTGTGGTTTCCACCACTCTTCGACGGGTGCAACGGCTCGGAACTGCTGGCTTCCCTACCTACCGCGTCCGGTCTGCTGAAAGTATGCGCAATTCGGCGACACTCGAAACTGATATCGTGGTCTATAGATCGAGGCCCTCGGCGCCAGCTGGAGTCTTGCCGTTGCTCTCTACCGTGAACAAGGTATACGGGAAGGCTTCCGTCCCTCCGCAATCGCGATTCTTAAAATAGGACGGTGCAGATCACCCTGGTCGATCAAAACCCACGTGGTGTCTTCGCGGGGGTCACGAAAGAGTGTGCTCCGGCGTTTGAGCATTCGCGCACGAAGGAAGTGCTGGTGCAGTAGCGACGTCAAAGAGAAAAGAGAATAAGGCAAGAGGACCATAAGGTGAAGAGAATAAGCTGTGGTGCAGGGAAACGTATTTACGCGTCTTTATGAAACATGCACCCTACCACTCGGGTACGAATGTCCACCAGCATTGCCCACAAGATACAAGATAAGGACTGCGAACAATGTATTGCAACAGCTAATAAGAACAAAGAATATCTACAAGAATGTATGGGTTGCCAAAGGGCTGACTACTCGGACTGCACTCACGCTGAGTGTGTGCTTAGTTCTTGCCAGTCTTGGCCTTGAGCCAAGCGACGAACTGGGCGATGGTGAACTCCTCGGGGAGAACAGCGTCAGAGCCAGCGCTGCCAGTGGGCTTAGCGACAGGAGCGGCAGATGAGGTGGAAGAGGCGATAGGAGTCTCAACAGGAGCAGCGCTGGTAGCGGCGGCGGAAGAGGACGCAGCCGGGGTCTTGATTGGGGCAGCACCCGAAGAAGCAGCAGCGGAGGAAGAGACGACGGCGCTCGAGGAAGCAGCAGGAGTCTCAGCGGCGGCGACGGAAGAGCTAGCGGCCGCCTTGGAGGAGGTAGCAGCAGGGGCCGCAGAAGAGACGACCTTGGACATGGTAGTGGGGACCGGCTTCTCGGGAGCCGCACCTGCAGCTCCACCACCAATCTTGGTGGTAAGCTCTCCGTCCTCAATGTATACACCGCTGAAGAACCAATCCTCAGCACCGTCCTTGTCGGCCTGGCCGGGCAGCCTCAGAACACCAAGATGCCAGTCCTTACCGTCGGAAGAGGTGCTAGCATCGAAAGGTCCGGCAGTCTGCTTCAACTCGTCGCTGCCAGTCGAGTGCCAGAAGGCAACGGAGCCGGCATCGAAGTCGATCTCGTACGCAACGTTGTGCCACTCGTCGGCAACGAGCTCAACGTCCCACTTGGAGACACCTCCAACGTGCCATTGAAGGTTGGTGTTGGACGAGCCCGAGGCACCGTACTTAAGCTCAGTGAAATGAGACTCGAAGAAAGCGATCTGGTGTTCGTTGGTGGCCGTTGGTGCGTTCTCGGCGGCAGTCTTGATGGAGAAGTGGTAGTAGACCTTGCCCTTGTTGATGGCCGCCTTGGTTTCGGGGATGAGTTCGGTGCGCAGCATGGTCTGGCCGTTCCATTTCGCGGTCTCGTCAATGGTGATCTTGACGCCCTGCTTGGAAGCAGTGTCGGCGGGGTTCTTGAAGGTGGTGTCAAGGTTGACGTAGTCGGTCACGGCGCCGGAGCCGTGGATGTAGTACTGGTAGGCGCCGACGGGGTTGGAGAAGGACCACTTGGCGATGTCGGCAGAGGAGGCATAGTCGTTGAAGCGACCGTCCCAGATCATCTCTGAATGCACATTTAGTATTTGTCGGACTACTGGAGGATATAGATAACTTACCGGCAGACGCAGCGCTGAGCATCGCGCTCATGAGGGTAGTCTTGGCAAACATCTTGAAGTTATTTGTTCGAAGGTAAAAAACAGAGACCGGCCTGTATGTTGATGGAAAAGCGAATGTAAATGCTACGAGAGCAATGAATGAATGACAGTAGTGAGCGAATGAACAACAGGAACGAACCAGCAGGAAGAGACGCAGCAGACCATATAAGAACGCTGCTTGACTCAACGCATACGCCTGCAAATCATTGCTCGGCATCTAGACGGCGTGAACGCATCGCATGTCAATATTTTGGAAACGCGCGCACCCATATTGAGTATCGCGCGAGCGGTACACGCAGGAATGAACAGTTCTGACAGGACGCCGAGGGCTTGACAGCCGTTTGGTGGTGGAAATTCCGCTATGAAACGTTCGCGTCGGCAACACCAAGCCCGAATCGGCCTTAGTTTGGCTCACACGATGCCTCAACGAGACTAGCGCGAGCGGCTTGGTGATGAAGGATTCATGAAACGCTCCCTGCTCATAGAAGCTTGTTTCATGGTGATACGCGAGGCCGAGATGGAGATTGGGTGATGCCGAGGCGGAGATTAGTTCGTTGTTTGCTTAGAGCTGTATATTGCTGTCAAAATGCCCTCGAGTTGTAAATTAGTTCTGGACGGTCTGAAGCTGCGACGCAAACTAAATGAATACGTAGTGCGGGAGACAGGATGTTAACGAATGTGCCGCTCAATAGAGAACAGTGTTGATTGCGACATGTGATCCACCAATAAGGCAAAAGAAAGACCGTGCGTGATCCTCATGAAATTGTGTGCTGTCGTCCACCAGCTGTTTTTCCTCGCATCTGTTGTGAGTTCATGCTCGCTCGTGAGGACCGTCGTCATTACGTACGCCGTCTAGGCTGTTTCTCTGTACCTCTAGTGCAGCGTTGGCGTCGTCGCCGAAAGGGTCGTGTGCCTGCAGTTCAGCCGGTGGTTGGGGTAACTCATGCACTGGCTTCGAATCAAGCTCGTTCTGAGTCGCCTGGGCATCTAGTTCGTTGTACCATCTACGCTGACTCCTGTCGCAGTCTTGATCTCCCATTTCTGGTATGACAACATCGTTCGCAGCACGTTCCCGACGGCGTCGTAGACACCAGAAGATCATCAAGCTTCCAACGAAAGCAGCAGCAACTGCGACCCCTATGCCAATGCCTACTTGGGCACCGGTACCAAGTCCATTGGGTGATGATGGTGATGATGCGGGTGCGGTCGTTGGCGCCAATCCGTTGATGACTATCGGTGTGGATGTGACGGCTGGCGCGGGTACGCTGTACCTCGCAACCAAAGACTTGACGTACTCGCTCGGAAATGTGCCAACGTCATCTATCTGCCAGTTCACTATGACGGGATCAGCCACGGCTAGACCGGTTGCAAGCGTGGTGATGTCTGATATGACCGATGTCTCACGCACGCGTCCGCTTGGCTCATATGTGGTTGTATAATCGTATACTGGTATGACTTCTTGCCCATCAAACGCAGGCGCTGTTATGATTGCAGCATAAGCACGGAAGGGTGTCGAAAAGCTAGACAAGCAGACATCGGGGTATGCGGAGCCAAAGGTCATACCGCTGATCACTTGTGGTCAGCTAAAAGATCGAGATTGGGGTAGTGGTAGCATCATACCTTCTGCAACAGCTGGCTTGCCAGAAAGTCCGGGTTCCAGTCGGCACACTGCTTTCGTATGCGGTAACCTCCGCGATGGTCTGCCCACTGGGACAGATCCCTGGACTGTATGTGGGTGTCCCATAGAGCTGACATCCGTTGTACGATGCGTCGGAGACGATCAAACGTGTCGGATTTACAGACCAGACGGTTTCACCGGTGCTGCTTCCACCATCACAGCTTTGTGAAGG